ATTAATTTTTGTGCTCAAAGGACAAATATATTTGGAAAATTTATTTGGATAAAAAATTCTTTTGTTTGATGCTGTTGTTACTGAATTGAGGTAGATATTCATGATTAGGATTATTCATATTTAATTTAATCAATCTCATGAGATTGTTTTAAATTTTAAGAAGAACCTTAAGAAGAAATTGCTTTATATTATACCAGTTTTATAATTATCTTCTTCCTCTAATCGTTTCTGAAAAAGTAACAGAATTTTTGGTATTGATCCTGTTTTTGGGGAAATATTCCCCTTGGCATACCAAACATTCGGAAGGAATATTCGCTCTCCCTTCCGTGATCAACCTTTACTAAGCCCCACTGTTAGGAGAGGCGTGTTTTTTTCAACACCGAAGGACGAAATGTGAAATTTGATAGTATTGTTGATCCTTGAGAGATTACTTTCTTTTCTTCTATAATCTAGCAGAGATATTGTTAATTTGAAAAGAACCTGAAAAATACGATTTTTTGCAATCGTTTTTAAATATTTCATATAAATATTAAACTAGTTTATGAAAAATATATTTCACATTGAAACAAAATTTAAGATTTTCTATAATATTGAACTACGACTGTCAATGCCTCAAGCAACCACCGATCTTGGCGACCTATAGAATTTGGTTCACAAACAGAATGATTTTAAAATTTAATTTGTAGGTATATCGAAATACAAAATTTGATGCCTAAATATCTCCTGCAGCATATGATTGTTTCTATATGTGAACAAAACAATTTCAATCGAAAGTTCTCTTGTACCAATGCTATATAGTATCTATATATAGTATGGGTGCATGGCGTTGTGCCTTAAGGCAAATTGCTGGAAGTTCCCGTACCGTAATTAAAAATCTTGGTATGGAACCCAAAAAAATTTGCACAAAATGTGTACACATTAGTAAAATCTCTATAAAATATCTGATAATTTGACGTACATATGTCCAATAAACACTTTGGACCGCCAATTGACATTTTTTTATCTTATTTTTATTGAGAGTCCGTAACCGCTGGACCTGCCTTCCCAAAAAATTAATCAGTTCTTCATTCTTTTTTTGGATTATGAAAATCGGATGCTCCATTCTCTTAAAAACTGAGTTACCGTATTTGGCACTTTTTACCCGTATCTTCGAAACGGCTAGACCTGCTTTTTCCAAAAACTAATCAGCACGTCTCCTTCTCAATACGAATCGAATGTTTTTTGAATTATTCAAATCGGTTGATCGGTGTTCCTGAAACCGTGGACGAAATTTTGTATCCGCACACCCACATATACATCCATTTTTCTAAGGTATGCCAAAATATTCAGAAACCTTTGAAACGTAAAGATATATAAAAAATTTAATTTTCGATTTTTTTGCGATTACTGTAACTTACCTTACGGGAAGTTAAAAATACGATTTTTTGTAATCGTTTTTAAATTTTTCATGTAAGGATTAATCAATTTTAACTCATATTCCATTATTATTTATCATTTTATTTATTGAATGCATTTACATTCGATTACCTTTGTTTCTTTCAAGAGAAACTAAATTTTTAGTGGCACGTTAAATTTTATTTATACTACTGCGTTCTAAATTTTACAAGAAATAATTCTGATGATGATGAATTTAGTTCTGCTGTTAACTTAGTTCATGTTTTAAATTTTACAAACTTATTTTTCTCAAAATATTTATCTCTCAAAAATTGTTATTCATCTTACTATTCTATCTTATTATTGTAGTTAGTTGTTATGTTCCGAGGACTTAAGAAAATTGTTTTTTGGTGCAAATGCGAAACAAACCAGTTTTCTTTTGTGTTGGAAAGATTTCCACTATACTTCTTACAAAATTTCTATATGGGTTAAATGTTATATCTTATTATCAAAATCTTACTTAGGTAATCTCAATTTCTTTTGTTTCTATCTAAAGAAACTAAATTTATTGTAGCATACAATTTATTTATTTATAGCACGTAATTTTATACTACTTTTATATATGCGTTCTAAATTTTACAAGGTATAATTCTGATGATGATGAACTTAGTTCTGCTGTTAACTTAGTTCACATTTTAAATTTCACAAACTTATTTTTTTTTCGAAATATTTATCTTCTAAAAATTGTTATTCATCGTTGTTAATTATGTTTTGAGGACATATAAAAATTGTTTGTTCTGCAAATGCGAAACAAACCAGCTTTCTTTTTCTGCTGGAAAGATTTCCACTATTGCAAAAATATTCTAAACAAATATTCTATTTCAAATGCTATGGATTCAATGTTATATCTTATTATCAAAACCTTACATCTCTATATATAATATTCTATAATTTATGATTTTACGAACGCCAGTATTCATTTTCAACTCAACCCTAGAAATGCTTGCAAAATACATTGTCACGGTTTTTGAGGATTAGTTGTACAAAATCTGTACAAGTTTATTTTTCTACCTGAGTAAACTTCGTGAAAATTTTATGAATATGGGGTATTTACCAAACTGGTCAGGTACCTACCAATAAGCAAAAGCAATAATGTATACAATTTAAAATCATGTTTGACTTCTTGTGAGATTTCTTGCGAGATTTTTTAACTTCCCGTAGGGCAAGTTATAGTAATCGCAAAAAAATCGAAAATGAAAATTTTTATATATCTTTACGTTTCAGAGGTTTCTGAACATTTTGGCATACCTTAGAAAAAATGGATGTATGTGTGTGTGTGTGTGTGTGTGTGTGTGTGTGTGTGTATGTATGTATGTGCGTGTGTGTATGTATGTGCGGATACAAATTTTCGTCGACGATTTTGGGAACACAGATCAACCGATTTGAATAATTCAAAAAGAATTCGATTCGTATTGATAAGGAGACGTGCTGATTAGTTTTTGGCGAAGGCAGGTCCAGCCGTTCCAAAGATACGGGGCAAAAAGTGCCGAAAACGGTAACTCAGTTTTTAAGAGAACGGAGCGTCCGATTTTAATAATTCAAAAAACATTTTACTTGTATTGACAAGATGAAGAATTGATCAAATTTTCATGAAGGCAGGTCTAGCGGTTTCGGAGATCTAATGATAAAAGTAAAAAAAAAATGCCATTTGGCGGTCAAAAATGATCATTAGACATATGCACATCAAATTATCAGATATTTTATAAAGATTTTAACAATAAGTATAATTTTTTTTTACATTTTTATGGGTTCCGTACCAATGCTTATCCGTTAGACGGCGGCGCGGCAGTTGCGCGCTTTGACATTTTGTCTCTATGCAGATAAAGCAGTACGATTGCTTTGAAAAACAGTTCAGAATTTCCAAAGTATGTCAAAATGAAAAAAACATTTTTTTTCCAAAAAAATTTTTTTTTTCAAAAAAAGTAATTTTTTGTCAAATTTATAGTTTCTCTCTAATTTTTTCGAAGTAAAATTTTTTCAAAAATGTTAATCGTTTTTAAAAAAATAATTTTTGGTACGGGAAGTTCCAGCAATTTGCCTTAAGGCACGATGCCTTAATTGCCTTAAGACAGAATTCCACTTACAGCTAGTTTTATTTTATAATGCACTTACTGTATGAAACAGACATTTTGAAGTATTCTTGCAGAGGTGATGTACAAGCTTTGCGTTGTAAGTCGTTTTTGAGATTGAACACTATTTAATTTTTATTTGAAATGAAATTAATTTCAAAGAAAACAGTGGAATTAACGAGTCTAATTCAAGAAGAAAATACCATTCGCACTTCAGTGTAGATGAATATGATATTTGGAAAAGTTACGCAATTAGATTGAAGATATTTTACTTGCTTGGGTGATGGGTTTTTATATACAACTTTCTGGAATCATCTTGGGTGATGGGTTTTTATATAAAATTCTGGAATCATCGAATTTGGCATCAACAAACCTTATGAAACCGATTGTATTTGCCATTAAAGCAATTGAAGAAGTTGCAGTCCATAAAATTTTCAAGATTTCTACAGAATTTTTGAGATTTTTACTGAATTTAACTATATTTTACAGTTTCTATTAAAATTTTGTATTATTGAAATGCTGTAATAAAATTATAAAAATAACATAATCAATTGACTTGTTAATAGATATGAAATTAGTAAATCCAACCTAATAACGCCATATTTTTACGAATAAATCAATGTTGTGAGACTGAATAGACAGTATCAAAATTATCTGATTTTCAAATGTAGGAGGTGAAAAAGTTTGGAAACAATGCTGGGGTCTTCATTGCATGATAACATAATTTGGTGTGGTTGCAAGTGCAATATGTGAACTTATTTTAACTATTCCTTGTTACCAGTTTATTTCAGAATAACCAATATTTTGATGAGTCCTAGTGAGTCATCTACTTACACACCATTAGCCCTATAATGCCTTTCATGATATCGCCTTCATCCGCGTCCTCGACTTCTGTCGCCCCAACATCATATTTGTCGCCGCGCGACAAAGCCATCGCACCACCATCACATGCCAACTCCCTTAGCCAGAAGACACGACATTATGGAGATCTTTGCAGGTAAGATAAATCATACTTACGAAACTAGATTCAATTAAAGACGTTGCAGTATAATGGAAAACAAAAAGTTCTATTTTTTCCAGCCTTGAGTCCAGTTTACACGATGATTCTTCAATGCGTCTTGGATACTTTACCCATTCTTTACTGTCTAGTCATCAACAATCATCGCCTTTGACGCCTACAACAAATTCTCAATCAAATAGTACACCCTCATCATCCCCACATACAAGTACTACTTCTGTGGGAAGTTCTTCACTTGGCTCATCACTGTGTGAAGATCTTTCTTCATTATTACTTCTTGCACCTGGTAGTCCAAATGGAAAATTTGATGATAATTCTGAAGATGATGAATTCAGGTATTTATTTTTATAATTTTAAGTATAAATTTAAGTTTGTTATTCAATGAGTTAAACTTTAATAATGTTGTTTATTTTTAGATGTAGACGTCATGGAGAAAAGTTGCGATGCTACTGCGAAACTTGCTCTAGAAGAGTTGCCAAGAATGTTCATTATGGGAACACAGAGATCATATTTGCCGACCGGTTTCATGTGAGAAATTATATGTCATACCAACCTTATGATCATTTAAAACATTTGAAGAACTTTATTTAATAACACGACTCGTGACTCTATTTTGATTACTTTATTTTTGCAGCTTCTGTCGTGTCTGAACGCGCTCGTTCACATTTAATAGAATCAATAGATGTGGGTAGATTAGGGACAAAAATGATCAAAGGAAGAATTGATGATGCTGTAGCAGTTGCTAAAAGTACTGAAAGACAAGCTGCAGAAACATGTACTAGAATACGGAGGTTCGCTATAATTTTATTGACTTTCCTATTACGAATAAAAAGTTCAATATTTATCATTTGCATTTATCCTTGTAGATTCTTCAAGCAACTAATCCAATCTACTGAAGAAAGAGAGCGTGAATTACTAGAACGCGTAGAGCGGTTGAAAAAACGCCGCATGGATGACTTGGCTGCTCAAATGGAATGGTTACGAGGTGCTTTGGCTGGTGTGGCAATGGCTGTTGATGACATGACGAAGGCTGTTGAACAGAACCAACAACGTGATGTACTTGATATCATGCTGGTGCATAGTAGAGCTCGGGAAGCTATCGATGAACATATGGCAACGTATCATAAAATTGAACCCAAAGAAGAATCACTTGTATTTGTTACCCCTAACTTTGAAGTGCTGCAGGATATCAGACATTTAGGTGAGCGCTTATATTTATTTTTCATTTTTCTAAAGCATTTAAATATTATTTTCTTATAGCTTCATACATTTTTAGTTATGCTATTTTTAAAATTTATTTTCTCGTATTATCATTTTACCATAAGTGAAAAAATATTATGTGTTTGATTAAACTAACTTGTATAGTATACAATTTAATTTTTTTATTTAATTTTATTCTTGTTTAAATTGCTGTAGTTGTTATTTTCCAACCCTTGACAATTTATGATATTT